ATGCACTAGTGTTGTGTTTTAATCTGATGATGATTAGTTAATGAAATTCTAGGCATATCGTCGTATTCTCCTAATCAACACTGCTCATATAATTATTTCTTGTAACTACTGTTAGACCACCATCAGCAGTACGCAGCTACAACTTCCGTTACTCGCAGGATTTGAAAGTAGGGCCTTCGGTCTTGTGCTCGAGTGCCTAACCACTGGGACACCACTGCTGATCAGTCCTGTAGGGGGACAAAACGGCCATCCAGTGCATTCAAGTTTCTAATGCTGGTCTAACAATGAACTGATTCATGGTTTCAGTGATAAACAAAAATCCGCATCAATCTATATTTACCGATTATCGTTTAAAAGAAAAAAAAATCATATTAACCTTAAAATAGGGAGTAAGTATATTTGGACACATGTCCCGAATAATTTGAATGATTATACCAATCCCAAAAAGTGAAGTTCAATTTTCAATGTTATCATTTCATTATGTGACATTTTATAAAAATCTACTTCTTCGCGTTTTAAATTATTACTTTGTAAAGTTTACAATTTTATTTGTGTAAGCTGACTGATTGTAAACCTTGTAATTGGAATGATATAATGTAAAACCGGTTTCAATGGTATCTAGTCATCTTTAAATCTGAAGTTAAATGTTATTCCTAAATCTTCACTACTCAGTCACATTTGTTCTTTTTTGAACTGTATTTCTTGTCGTCTAGATTTATGTTTTATGCGGGAAGATTTCAAGTGATTGATGAGGTAAAACTTTTTGATTTATAAAAATAATGAATTACTTACTTACGCCTGTTACCCCCAATCGAGCATAGGTCCCCCACCAGTTTTATCCAACCAACTCTGTCCTGGGACTCCCTCTCCAGTTCTGTCCAATTCTTGTTAATTCCTCTCAGATCTTTCTCTACTTCTCGGCGTAATGTGTTCTTTGGCCTTCCTCTTTTCCTTTCGCCTTGAGGGTTCCATGTGAGGGCTTGTCTCGTGACGCAGTTAGGTGCTTTTCGTAGTGTGTGTCCTATCCACTTCCACCGCTTCTTCCTGATTTCCTCATCCACTGGAATCTGGTTTGTTCTCTCACACAGTAAGTTGTTGCTGATCGTGTCTGGCCAACGAATCCGAAGTATTTTGCGTAGACAACTGTTAATAAACACTTGTATCTTCTGGATGATGGCTTTGGTAGTTCTCCATGTTTCCGCTCCATACAGTAGAACTGTCTTCACATTTGTATTGAAAATCCTGATTTTGGTTTTGTTTGAAAGTTGTTTGGAGTTCCAGATATTTTTCAACTGTAGAAATGCAGCCCTTGCTTTGCCAATCCGTGCCCTCACATCTGCATCGGATCCACCATGGTTGTCGATGATGCTGCCCAGATATGTGAAGGTGTTAACGTCCTCCAAGGCATCTCCATCAAGAGTGATTTGGTTGGTGCATGTTGTGTTGCATCGGAGAATTTTCCTTTTTCCTTTATGTATGTTGAGACCTACTGCTGCAGAGGCTGCTGCTACACTGGTCGTCTTCTCTTGCATTTGTTGTTGAGTGTGCGATAGAAGAAAAATAATGAATAGATGGATTTACTGTAGTCGAGCAATAGTTCCTTAGAATATGATATAACTCACTTTAATTCCCCAGGTGATTTTAAACCAAAGGGAACAGCACACATCCAGAAGAATAGATTTTTCTAACGTGGTAAAATAGTATGCTTATATTATGGAATATAAACAATAAAATATAAGCAATAAAATGTCATAGATGATTGATGAAAATTAGCTTACAGATCACTCCTTCTCCAAATGAATAAGATCCGACTTTTTAAGTCTAATCTTTAGCTTCGTATCAGTTTCCAATGCTATCCTCTAATGGTGGTCTAACATTGATCGATTCATGGTTTCAAAAATGTGTAACTTAACAATCTTCACAACCCCGTCATGCAAATTACCTGTGCTCACTGGTGACTAGCTTCGTGAGGAATCTTCTCCGAGTTCTAGTGGGAAGACGTGACCAGTGAAGTTCAATCTGTTCGGGTGTAGGCAGTGTCTACTGAAGACTGTGTATGGGGTTGCGCAAATCCGTGAATTTGATCAAGTTAGACATTAACACCGTTAGATACCGACTCAGTGGTCCGATGGTTAGGCGTTCGCGCACAATACCGAAGGTCTTGGTTCCGAATCCTGCGTGGTGCAGGAGTCGTGGATGCGCACTGCCACTGATGAGTCAGTCCCATACCAGGACGAAATGGCCGTCCAGTGCTTCCAGGTTTCTAATGGTGGTCTAACATTGATCGATTCATGGTTTCAAAAAATGTGCCCCTGGTACGGCGAAGAGTGAGGAGGGTCCACTCTCCTTCTCTAAATGCTGCCATATGGACCCGTGTATAGAGAGTTCTTACTTATCGTTTCAAGAGTGTTGTTTACAACATTGAAAGGATGAAAAGCGAATATCCGATCAGAGTTTAAACCGGGTTAGTGGGTACGGATGATCCACCTAACGAACTTGGAAAGCCTATTAACTCATATGAAATTCAGGATGCTGATGGAACGAACGGCTTGAGAACATATTATTGGCTATCGGATACCATGTAGCTGTATCTCCTAGCATTGCTCCATTGGCTTGTGGACTAAGTCCTTTTGGTCAAAGTTCCGAGTAATGGCTCCCTGATTAAACTACCTATTTTACATTGGCTTTGACGATTCCAAGTGAGGACTTGTCTCGTGACGCAGTTAGGTGCTTTTGTCAATTTATGTCTTAACCACTTGCACCGCTTCTTCCTGATTACTCCCTCAGATGGAGGAATCTGGTTTGTTCTCTCCCATAGTAGATAGTTGCTGATGGTGTCTGGAAAACGGATCCGAAGTACTTTGCGTAGACAACTGTTAATAAACACCTGTATTTCTTCGTTGACGGCTTTCGTGCTTCTTCAAGTTTCTGCTCTATGCAGTAGAACTGTTCTGATGTTTATGTTGAGAATTGTGACCTTAGTGTTGATTTATAGTTGTTTTGAGTTGCTGATTTTTTGTTCACTTGTAGAAATACTGTCCTTCCTTTGCTAATCTACGCCTTCCCATGTACTTCAGATTCACCATGCTCGTAAATGATGCTTCACAGACATGTAAAAGTTTTCACATTTTCCAAAGCTTCTCCATGAAGTGTGAATTGGTTGATGCAATATTGTGTTGTATTGAAGGATGTAGCTTTTTCGATTGTATATTTTGAAACCTACTGATTCTGAAGCGTCTGCTTCACTGGTCTTATTCTCTTGCATTTACTGTTGCATGTAGGATAGAAAAGCTAGATCATTTGAAAAGTTTATACGCATCCAAGCTGTCCCGTGTTTCCCCTCACATGTTGACGACTTTATGATCCAGTCAACCAGGAGAATCAAGAGAAAGAGTGCGAGTAAGCAACCTTGTCTGACACTGGTCTTCATTTAGACTGAGTCATTATTATCTTACCGATATCCTAAATATCAAATGTGAAGAACGTATATGATTTTAATTGAAGTATTTAGGTTTTCCCTGCGATACATGTCAGTGATGAGTTCAAATCTATTGATTAATTCATTTGTTAAAAGTTGGGATTATGGATTAAGTTAATATGACATTTCATCTCATCACAATTATTCAAATAATCAGGTTAAATTAAACTGAATGCAAAATACTACATGTCTATAATCCATTTGTTTCTGAATCTATCACCTCATCGTTTTTGTATATTGAACGACACTACTTATATAGTGCATAGTAGTTTGAGTTATTTTCAAACAATTAAATGACATGTATTTTCTAATTCATGGTGTCACTTCCCTTGTCGTTGATTTACCCTCTGAATACAACTATATTTTGTTGTCTGACATTCAATAAGTACAATAACTTCTCTATCCCTATAGCATCAAAGAAGAGACATTGAGAAGCTGTATGAATCAGGTGTTTTTCAAATATTTCAGAATTATTTTTTCCAGGATTCCTGTTGATGTATATTATTTTAAATCAACATTTATGAAGACAGTATTCGTCAGTACTTTGAGCAATCTCTCAGGTTATAATTCTTGATTCAAACTACATTCATTTAACTAGATATGAGAGCTATTTTCTGATGGAATTTAAGTAGTTGATCATCGAAGTATACTCACTGACTCATCGATAATGATGAGTGAACTAAACTTCTCTTCTTGTTCAATGAAATTCTGTTACAGAAACTTGGATAATAGTCAATTCAACTGATAGCACAAGCCAGTAACTATCTGCACTCAGTAGATAAATGGATAGTTTTGTATACATCGACCTAGACTTTGTTCAAGTTACAGAGTTAAGCGTCAACTCCGGGATGCAGGTACATCCCCTCCGCCCGCCCCACTATTATCCGTCTCTGCTAACTATTCTTGTGATCTAATGTAAATATCGAGGTGATCAGTGCAGGATACACATAATATGCCAAAAAAAGCGACTGATCAATTACAGTTTTAAATATCAATGTAAAGATTCGAACAACCCATATCAAATGAATAAGATTACAACAAGTAAATGTTAGTCACAATAAATCTCATATTTTTATACCTAGAAAAGTTTTGAAACAGTTTTTTTTCAAGTGTAAGCGCAAAAAAAAGATTAGAAAACAGATTATTTACAAGTACACATTTTGAAGAAATCACAGATAATAATGAATAATTAGTCATGAGTAAAACACTATGCTGCTAATGTTGTGTGGCAGGCAACATGAACTGATGTACATAAGTAAGTACGTATCTACGTACGTACGAAGTTCTACGTTGCTATTGATTGATTGATTGATTAGGAAGGGATGAAGCTGAGAACTTTACAATACAAGTGTTTATTTTATATTCCATCATCTTCCCATGGTCGCCAATAATTATTTATGGAGGGAACAGTATTTGTTCCATTTTGTAAATGATTTCTTTGTTGTTGTGTTGTATTCAATTCATGCAATTTCTCATTTTGTTTAATTGAATTAACATTGACAATTGATTGTTGAACAGAATCCATATTGAATTGATTAGTATTTAATAATTTTAATCCTTTTCTTGTATCAACATTCATGTTGATTATTGCTGATGGTTGGGATGATGATGATGAAGATGATGCTGATGTCAACGATTTCATGGTCGATTTTTTATCTGAATACAACTTGTTGTATATTGAAATTCTCGGTATTTTCTATCATTTTCAATTAATTTATCTAATACTTTGAATATCTGGACATCTATTGTTTTAAACCGAAATTGACTAAAAACAAAAGAATTTGTAATCATTAAAATTGGATTATTTTTTAAATAAAGGCGCGAATAAAAACAAATTCCATGTTTGCTCAATATGGTACGATACAATGGTTCAATAGTATATATATATGAAGGAGTGTACACCATATCGTAATCTTGAATATTTTATCATAATTTATGTTTAAATGGAAAGTATGGGTTTAATATTTAACCATTTTGAACAGGAGAAAATCAAAAAATTCCGATTCACGTTTTGTAATTTTACTTATGAATCATAGTGTGTGACCGATTTGGTCTCTGCGTGCTGTTATGTGATGCATTGGTGCTTAGGATAAGTCAGAAGCCTGATTTCTTCATGCGTCTTTACCCAATTAGATATTAATTAGGTCATCGTTATATCTAACGTTCGACGAGCCGGATTCTCATGGTAAAAGTTTTCAACTCTCAAAAGTCCAGATGATGCTATGTAGGGAATAGTTTTAGTACGAAAGCTAGGGCGGGTCAAACCCAAATATGGCAGAACTCTATGAAGTCGCTGGACACGTGGACTGCATCATGCTTGGTAGGTGGTTGACTATCTGGTTGCGGACCCGCGAGACGGAAAGTCACCGATGGTTAGGAGACCTTGAATGGACCTGGTCTTGAAATCGTTTGCTAAATGGCTCAGTGGCATTCATTCTTCATGTTCTCTCAAATCCTAACATTAGGAGTTCCTCATCACCTTCACTAGATTCTACTTCCTGAATAATATTGACGAACCCTAATCCTTCCGATTACTGCTAATACTTCTACTACCTCTACTACTATGGGATTTGAAGTGACAATCGCATCTCTATGCTTATTGTGGTATGGCGACTTGAACTGATGTACATAAGTTCTAAGTCCTATGTTGTTGTTGACTGACTCTTCGAGTAATTTATAAAGATATATATATATATATATATATATATATATATATATATATATATATATATATATATATATATTCCTATTTATGGACTCAAAAGAGTTAACCACGATTAACAAGTTACTACACTTTGTGAAATGATAATTTAATTGTTAATGCAGTTTTATCCCGTTGTCTTTGGTGGACATTGGTGCTTTATACCCGGAAAGGGTTGAATTCCACTGATCACAATTTCTCACTAGAAATCGTAGAAACTTCTTCATGGAACTAACTAGTCACTAGTGAGCACAAGATAATTCTCATTATATGGCTGTGAAGATGATTGATTTCTATGGAAATCATGGATCGATCAATATTTGACCACAATTCGAAGCCTGGAAGCACCGAAAGACGAACGTTTCATCTTAGTAGGAGATTCGACAACAGTGTGCATCCACGATCCTCGCTCGCAGGAATTTAACCCGGGACCTACGATCTTGAGTTTGATTACTTGAACTTTAGAAAATTGAAAATGTACCACCTAAATACAAGAGTACTTCGTAATTTACCTAATTTTAGATCAGACAACAAGGTTGTACACGTACTTCACATTAATGTGAAAACAAAGTTGCAATAAAGAGCAACTAACCTTTTCACCACCAAGAATTGAATGTATTCGATCGTATTCAGTTCTTTCTAAACGTCGACGATATTGTTCTATGGATGCTTTTGTGAATTTTTCCTAATAAATAAAAAAGTGATCATCGATTTTTTATTACAAGGCTGATTTATAATTACGAAATTGTAAAGAATTTTCAACATAAATTACGAAATATTATAGTGAATTCTTTAAATTGTTAGTTATTTCAAACATATTTCATCATTGTATCGTGTTGTTACGCAAGCTTTTGTCTACAGGATGGGGGGGTTTAACCTTATGCCCAAACCTCCACTTTTATCCCTGGCCTGAGACTGGCAGAACCCTATGAAGGCTGGGAGCTTTTCTATCTCAAACACGGTCAAAGATATAGGAGTAGAGGTACAGTGTTGTAGCAACTTCTGCTATCGTAGGCCTTATACATACACAAGACAAAAATTAACACCCACCGATAAAACACAGCAAGTACCAGCGAAGTCACACTTGATTAAAAATTCGAGTAGAAGTGGATACTTTTACATCCGTGGTCAGCACGGATGTGGCACGGACAGATAATGCATGCCGTTGAAAAACATCTGAAAATCAAAACGTCTGTTAACTAACATCAAAATTACAGTTTTCTATACAATCATCAAAACCGTCCTATTGTGTGTGTGGTGGAAACTCAAAGAACCACGAAAACTATCATCTGGAAGATACAGATGTTTATTAACAATTGTCTACACATCCGTTGACCAGACACCATCAGCAATAACTTATTGTACAAGCGAACAAATTAGATTCCTGTGACTAAAGGTAAATATGACACATGTTGTGGGAAGCAACAAAGTGAGTCACAAGACACGCCTAACTTGGAATCTTCAAGGCCAAAGGAAGAGAGGTAGACCAATGAACACATTGCGTTGGGAATTGAAGGCAGACTTGTAAAAGAATGAATGGCGATCGGGAATAATTACAAAGCAGATCGGCGGACAGAGTAGGCTGAAGATTGCTGGTCAGTGGCCTATACTCGCCGAATGGTCACGGGTTTTAATAAGTCATATTTAAACATTTGAAAAAATAGGTAGCCAAGCTATGCGTGAACGCCTAACCGCTGGGCCCGCACCAACGCTGTTCATATCTAACTCTGACTGATCTAAAGATTTTGCGCGACCTCACCCAGCATTGTCTTTGGTAGTTACTGCATACACCCGACAGGGTTGAACTACTCCACTGGTCACACAGCTTCTCACTAGAACTCCGTGGAATTTCCTCACGAAGCTAGTCACCAGTGAGCAGATTTTACGATATTTTCAATAAATATTTAGTTCCTAATGGAAATTGAACATTGAAAACATTGAAAACAAAACGGAAATATATCACCGATATAATATTACCTTCTGATTTATTGAATCATTAGGAGGCATCAAGCATTTATTGTGTTCATCTGAATTCATAGACATGATCGATAATCTATCTGATTTATATTCAGCAGTAGAAATATTTGTTTGAGGTGTACCAATTGTCAATTTATCCGCTGCATATCTGAGTATTTGAATTCGTGTCATCTAAAATATAAAAAAAATTATGAAATTGACAATTGAACAAAGGTTATGCCAAAAAAATGTGATCAACTCTATATATATATGAAAGAGCGAAATTTAAATGAATCTATTAGAAATATTTATCAATAAGGTTGTTAAAAATTTTAAAGTCTTAGGCTTTTATACAATTTGACTAAAACAAGAACAATTAATATAGGAGGTAGGATAAAAAATACATGAAATTATTTTAGATTCCGTGGTTTCTCGTCAACTACTTACTAACTAAATTTTTAGTAGTATTTATCATGGGGAAAAACAACAATGTACATATATACTTTGTATATCATAAATATTAGAAAAGTTCTCATCAGGGAAAGATTTGTACAAACAGCAATAAGGACTATAATAATGATAATGAGTTTGAATATTTATACATTGAAATCGTGAATCAATTATCGTGTTAGACCATCATTTAAAACCTGGAATCACTAAAAGATGTTTGTTTCGTCCTAGTGTGGTGTGAGCTACTTATAAGTAGTATATGACGCGAGTGTCAACGTAATGTCTGGCAGCAGAAGATGGGGGAAGATCAAGAAAGGAAGAGTTAGAAGAACACAATGGAATTTGTATGAAACGCATGAATAATGACAATGGATTGATGTTTTGCAACAGGAACAGTCCAGTTCGATATGATGAACTGATATTTTGCAAATTAACGATTTACGATATGGTTTTTCCGATTTTACTGAGTAACTCTGTAATTTTCGTTAAATACAATTCGGTTGCCCCACCGGTGTTTTCGTTCACTACACTAGTATAGTTAGATACCTTGAATGTGGTGGCATGGCTTAAAATTATTTGCAATGGCTCAGGTACATTCATTCTCTTTGTGTTCGCTCAAATTATAATCTTATGAATTCTTTATCAGCTCTATCTTTCTCCTTTTAAATTTATTTCACTGAATTATACTTGTTGAATAATATTTTCGAACCCTAATCTCTCCGATTATTGCTAATACTTCTACTACCTCAACTATTGTGGGATTTGAATTTACAATTCAATCTCTCTGTGTGCTAATGTGGTGGTATGACAACTTGAATTGATGTACGTATTTACGTACGAAGTTCTACGTTATTTCTAACTGACTGACTGACTGACTGTGTGTGTTATACTCAAGTCAATTGATATGCTTTGAATGCTATTACGAGTTCACCTTATTCGGTAAACGAGAACGAAAATAAATGATCCAGTGACACGATAGGCTACTCTAATTATGAGCGTCCTGAGGCCCCACTAAGTAGAGGAATATGTCTTGATATGGCATAGAAAGTGTAATCTACAAGCACCCAGAAAATATGATGTTGACAAGCACACACAAATCGAGTTTATTTATACATCAATAGAAAAGTCCTTGAGAGAGCTACAAAATAAAGCTTACTAAAATAATAGATCAACTCAAGAATTCTCTAGGTGTGAAACGTAATCTCAAGGTCAACTGATCAGCCTAAGCGCTAAAACATAAAATCCAAAATTAAGACCTTTCACAAGTGAGTTTTGGGATTATAACATCCCCATCAGTATGGTACATTCCGCTTCATATCCACTATACACTACTTATAAGCTTCATTGTGAGTATTATACGCCAAATTATTAGAAATTTCGGTGATATCTGAATTCAGTATCAACACACACACACACACAAATTCATAATGATCTTTTAACAACAGTTTAGTGTTGTTTTCAATTAGATCAAGGCAATTTATTACTATTGTTGTTAGTCAATAATTACAATGAATTGGAAGACATTACGCAACAGGTGTACTGTTGTTGTTACTGATACGACTAGTAAAATACAATAACAGACATGCTTGAATATCTCTATCTCATTGTTTTGATTGCGTAATCTTTTTTTATTACGTCATTCTAATAGTGTGTTTGTGTGCGAGCTTTGTAATGCATATTTCATGTTTATAACATTTGCCCAAGTCTGGTATGGAGAAAGGATTTATGCGAAAGTTGTTTGCTTGATTGCGTTGTATGCTAGCTGGGTGTTTGTAGAATATATATTTTCCACGCTTATCAAGACTTCTATTTTGCAGTTTGGGAATCAAGGTAGCCTACCTGGACGCTGGTTCATTGTCTCGTTTGCGTTTATCGACTTAGGTAAACTCTTAATAGCTTCAAGTGTACCTAGTGACGAACCTAACAAAAACAAATCAGATTTCAGCGGAGGAAGAAACTAGGAAGAAGCGTTATATCAAGATTTTTCATTAGTCAGCAGATCAGGGTAGCTTACTTGGACGCTGGTTCATTGTATCGTTCTAGTTTATAGACTAAGGTGAACCCGTAATATAGTTTCAAGCATACTTGGTGATGAACCAAACCGAACTCTTGATAACTAAATAGGAATAACAAAGGTATTTCGCCGTAGCATACATAGGTTTCCTCAGCTACATGTATCCACGGCCTTCCTTCTATCTAATAGTCAAACCCAAAATTTTCAGTTGAAGTGGTTGGGTCGTGTGTTACGAATGCGCAAACACCGACTCCCTCGTCGAGCTATGTTTTGTGGTGTAGGAGTAGATTGGAATAGAGCTACGGTTAGACAAACCAAAATATGACACAAATCCATGAAGTCAGTGACAACTGGATTGAGTCATGTTGATAAGTGTAGACATACTACCTAGTTGGGGTCCGCGAGACAATAATAACTGATGGTCAGTGATCTTGAATGACATGTCTCAAAATCGTTTGCCGTTTACGGATCAAGGTAGCCTGGTTCATTGTCTCGTTCGCGTTTATTGCCTAAAATGAACCCGTAATAGCTTCAAGCGTACCTAGTGACGAACTTAACAAGAACAAATCAGATTCCAACGGAGGAAGAAACTAGGAAGAAGCGCTGCATGTGTACATGAGACACATTGAGGAAATCACTCAACTATGTCAAAAGACAAATCATCACTTAGAATCCTGAAAGTAAAAACGAAAAGCTACAGACCAATGAACACTCTGTGCCGACAATCGGAAACAGATACGGCAAAAAATTATTGTATTAGCAAGTGATGCGTATTCAATGGTTTCCTACAATCAATAATAAACTTATCAATATATACTTTTATTGCATAGAATTCTTACTTCTTTATTAAGTGCCAGAATAGTACGAAGTCGATTGAGACGATGATTAATTTTCATACGTCGTAATCTTTCAGCATCTACTTTCTATTGAAAAACACAGAACAAAACAAAATAAAATTTAGGTAAATTTATCAACATTTTAAACAGAATCAGATTGAAATTCATAAATGAATCATTGTTAGACTATATTGTTGAAAATCTGGAAATAGTGAAACATGGCCATTTCGTTCTAGTATGAAACTATTATGCATCAACAGTGATCATCCTCTACTGCCTGTTACTTGTACGATTTGCACTTTAGGAGTTTCGGTTTTGCACGAGCTAACGCTTTTTATTTCAAATAAAAAAATAATTATTTTTAAATGACTTGTTAGATAGATTATTTCCTCTCCTTTTAAGAACAAATATATTTTGATATTTTGAACGGGCCTTTATTGATTTTTCTTATCAGTTACTTATATCATCATTTAAAACCAGTGTCTAATGTTGCTTTTTGATTTATAGTATATACAAGGACAGTTTCGTCGCCGGTATGGGACTCTTCAGCAACGATACACACCTAGGATTCCAACTCAGGACCTTCGATCTTGGGCGTGAACACTTAACCTCCTGACCACTGATACGGCCGAAACCCAACGGTGTTAAACCCAAATTGAGCAACCAGCTAGCATTATTCTCCAGACAACTCTGTCCTGAGCCTTCCTTTCTAGTTCTGTCCAATTGTTGTTCATTCTTTTCTGATTAGTTAGCTTTCTATAGGATGGAAGGCTCCAGATTAACTAACTAATTACAAAATCTGTTTACTGATTGGCATGATACTTAGTTGAAAATTCGTTACGGTTATTTTAATCCTCTTGACTGTAATATGGGGAATTCTCAAAACACTGTTGAAATGTGTTAAACAAATGCAGTGTTCAATGTTCAGTGTTCATTAATAAAACAATTAACCGAAATCTACTGAGAATTTTAGTTGAATTTTCCTATTTTCCAAAGGAAAAAAATTACAATCGCATTACTGAAAAACGCAGTGTGTATCGCTTTTCTTTATCCACGTGACTCACTTCTGGTATACACCCTACACTGGATAAATTATTAGCCCTAGGTATAGGACTCCTCATCCACAAATTCACTGGGACCGTTTGGTTACATGGGGATATGCGTAACATTTTAAAACTTGTACATCAATATCCAATGGTTTACATATATACAACTCATGATATAACCTATCGTCTATCCAATATTTTCTGGTTTTTACAATCTTTGTCGAATTAAATTCCGATCTAAAAAAAATTTGCGTGTCGATATTTTCTAGTCATTACCATTGACAAAATTAAATATGTTTGTAATACAATGCTATAATTGTTTTGAATTGATTTTTCCGGTTGGTGTTTTTTTTTTGAGTGAGTTGGTTTTCTACAGGATGGGTTCACCAACCCCACTAACCCAACCGTCTTCCTTTGTCCTGGCTTGAGACCGGCAGTAGTCCCGAAAGGGGCTCCAAGCGGAGTTGTATCCAAGTTAGATTGATATCATTCTTTGGTAGTAGCTTAATTTAGTTAAGAATGAAGCATTCATTCATCAATAATAATTAATAAAGATTACACACAATATTGTGTGTAAACCGAAGTTGAAAATGTGAGCAAACGAATTCCTGGAAAAATATTTCACAAAACCACACTGAGAAATGGAGACAGACATGAGAAGAATGAAAAGCGATTGAACAGAACTAGAAAGGAAGGCCCAAGAATACTGGTCGGTAGCCTATGCTCTATTGAGGGATAACAGTTAGTAATTTCACAAAACGTTCAATATTATCAAAGATGCCTACTGATACTGAATTTTATTTCATATGTAACTGTGATTTGATAACAACTACTCGAAACAAAAGT